TTAAGGGGGATACCAGGAGATGGGAAGACCAACCATTGAGGAGGATTGGTGACATAGCCTGATCGCAAGGGCCGAATTAAGCCGAATGTAACTAGGCCCAAGGGGTCACTAGGTCAAATTAGTAATTTAACTGATTTTTAAATTTGTGTCAAACTGCATAAGTGATTTCCTAAATTCCCGAGACATTTATGAGGGGTCGTAGAGTTCTCTGCATCTCTCTTAAGTAAATGTTGGACGAACATACCTTTCCTATCCCTACCAGTTGTAAGGACGTGGCCAGGACAATCCTTAACTGTTGGAGCGGGATATGTCTTTATCTGGGAGATAGTAATTACTTCCTACTTACTATCTGTCCAGTAATAGATATCCGTCTTGCTCTTAATAGTTTTGAATTCGTACCACCTACGATATTGTGCAACTTGTTCGATGCTAATGCTAATGCTAATGCTAATGCTAACTGCATAAGTGATTTTCAAATTTGCATGGTGAAGAGCATATTCCGAATTGACTTGATAATAGTGACAAGAATCGGGTAGTGACCACCGCCGTTATGAATTTCTATATTGTATATTTCAAATCAAAAATATTGTTTATGTTCATAGATTTCACCTAATCCTTTCCCCTTTGTCCTTCTGCTTTTCCTTTCCCTTTTCTCTTTTCAAAAAGCGAGTAATGGCGCTATAGCCATAAGTCATAAAAGGCTAGGACAAGAGTTAGTGCTCATGCCCCAACCGTAAGAAGAAAATGGAGCATCACTTAACCTTTCTAGCTTTGATGCTTCGAACGACCAACCAATCATATAATTACCGAATCGGAACGTACGGTACGAGATGTCCACGTTTCATCCATTTATTGGATTCTGAAGCATCGTGTTTAAATCTTCTAATTTAAACAGGCCCGATGTTTTCTGAATCATCTTGCCCCTTAAATGCTGCACAGTAGGCCTGGCCGTTTTGATATGTGTGAAACATATATCAAATAGACAAGAAAAATGATGTAGGTATATATGTATATCATTTTCCAGGATGCTTTCTAGAACTGGCTGTGTTGGTGTTAGATTAGATTAGATTAGATGTTCCATTTTCAATTTTCACAAAGTGTACTATCAAAAGCCTTTTTTTTATCGTGCATCAAGCTGGAGCAGCGTGACAGCTTAGTTTTCAAGACTTGACTCATTTGAATAAATTTTGCTTCTATCTTTGACAATACAGCAGAAGGACTAGCCTATGTTGGGCGCTTGAACACTGGATTCCGTGTGTATTGTTTCAAGATAGTTATGGAAAAATGCTGTGACGTGTGCGCGTAGATACCTCCGCGTAGTAAATAGATTGAACGAGTAAAGCCGTTTCGAACGAAATATCTGAATTATGTAAGTTACGAAAACCGCGCAAATTCCGAAAGCCGTGCGAGACAACTGAAGCGAGAAAAAAGGCTTATCATCACTTAAAGAGTGCCACCAAATGTGATAGCCTATGTTGGCAAGTTGATTAATTTTGGTTTCCTCCCTAGATATTCTACTTATTTACTACTGAGTTTTGTATCAAATTAGTTAATTTCAAGATTTCGCGACCGTACCGAACAAATTCTATACTACATAAGCTCAAAAGCGTTTAACAAGCTCTACCGAATTGCGTATCACTTCTGCGTAAGCTAGGCGCATAGGCGTAGACGTAGGCGCGTTGATTCCGAGGATTTAGTTCATAGATTAACATTGACTGCTGTTTACAAATGTAAGTACTTGAACACTAAGAAATAAGTTAACTCAAATGCTTTACCCAAGCAACACACATCTATCAAAATAGGTTGCTGCAACTTGATTGTGACTGAAATAAGGTGCATACAAGTAACCACAACAGTTAAATGACAAGTGTGCTGCTACGGTAGCCGCATATATAAGAGATTTAGCGTATTGAGAGAATAATATAATAATCGAGTACAACAAACTCAGGGGAATACAATACCTCCAAAAGTTTAAAAGTTATTAATTGTCACATACCTCTACTTTTACTTATTTCCTAAACTATTCTTCTCCTTGTTAATCTGCTTAATGCTATTGGTCTGCTTGCATTTTCTTATTAAAGCTCAAGACTAAATAAGAAGATTTATTCTACAACCTTAAAGGTTAGTTGCCTCCCTAAGCGGACCCCAGCATCCTAATTCTATTCTTAATCTACTTAATGTCATTAGACTTTCTGAAGTTTCTTATTTAAGTTCATTTGATGATTATGATATCTCATTAGTCTAATTTGATAAATTATTAAAAGCTCTAATTCACCTAATCAATCCTAACCCATGCTTTATTAAGTACCAGCACTTGTGCTTGTATTCTAAAATTAAACGTGTTTCAAGTACTTTTGATTTTGACCTATACCTATTTATTTTATCTTAGTTCGACCCAGGTAACACCTTTATGTGACTAAAATGCTTCATTTTGAGGTTAGTTTCCTAGCTGATTGTTTAAATTATATAGGGTAAATGCTCCAACTATGCTCACACGCTTCCACTATGTCGCACCACAAAAATACGTATGGGTATATCACAATAGAAGCACGGCACAGTGGAAATCCCGAGCCATAGTTCAAACACTGATCTCAAATCAAAATGAAGCACATATAAGATTAGTTACAATACCATGTAAAAATGAAGTTTAACATTGTTTCCTGAGTAATACTTCAATGAAAACAACAATGAAAGCTTGTCACGCAAATAGAAGGGCACTTTCTGAAATATTTCAATAATATAATTCCCTTGCAAACCCAAATAAATAAAATAAGAGTGATTTGCGGCAAAACCCGCCAGTATCACACCCAACGTCAGTGCCTATACCTAAGCGTACTACGACGCGGCTCTCAATCAAAGGAGTAACAAGTGTGATACTATCACTGCTAGACTAGATCTTTGGTTCTCTCATGCAGTGGTTTATCAGAGAGGGGAAGCTTAGTAATTCCCATTGCCTGCCCATGGCGCCATTCTATCGCGGCATGAGCCAGCAGCGCCGGCCATAAACCTACCGTCTCCAACACTTCACTATAAAGCATGAAATTAAGCCCGCACACCAACAGCAAGGTGCAAAAACTAACCAAGGGGAGGGATAAAGTCTATCGAAAGCCTATTGATTCAAAACCATTGTCGATTGTCGCAAGGCATGTTTTGTGTGATTAAAAGATCTGACTGCATTCAGAACCCTTCATCAGAACTGATTCCAGGGAAAGGAACAAATCTCGGTCGATTATAAGTGGATTTTATTTCTAGGCAATTCATTCGCTTTTGAAATGGTTCTTCTTTCTGTATATTTACTAAATATATCGATTTTCTACCGGTATTCTATTGAAAACTACATCACAGATTTATCAAGTTAGACAAGCCCTCCGGAATCTGGAATCTAGTGACCATGGTTATTTTTGGTGGCTACTCCATAAAACTATATTAGTTTTGCAGTCGAATGCTTTTGGAAGAATTAAAGTCGAACCATATTTGACGAAGTTACCACACTCCAAAGTTGACCAAAAATTTGCCTATCCTAGTTATTTTGAATGCCCCTTGTAATTTAACTCATACCCTTTGCCAAAAGTTACTCGTCTAAAATCTACTAAGTCATCCACCGCTCGCCGATCTGCTCCCGCATGCAATGACCTTTTGTATCACCGGTTGAGCCAACCACGACGTTTGGGTGGGAAATATGAGGTGACATAAACCTAAGGCATCGACGCGAACGGTTTGCTAGCTTGCTTGTTGATGGGTCAGTTCAGCAGGTATTTCACAGATTCATAGACAACCAATTCCGTGACACACTGGTTATGATAATCCACGCAGGCAGAGTTTGTGCAGGCATGGACATGATAATATCGTTCGATGTGGGTCTTCAGTCTAGATAAAAATAAAACATATTGCTGACACTGTACCTGTACCTACCTAGATCAAAGATCTAATAATAAATAAATCACCAATCTTAGGAACCGGTTCAGCCAGTTTGCGAGCTAGGTGTGGGTCATCTCAGTCCAAAAAGTGCCAAATTTTTCAACACGTCGTCGGTCATCGAATGGATTCACCACAGGCTTCACGCATGGGACTCGTGATAACACCTAAAACCATCATCAAACGCTTCTGCAGCCAATTGAAAATCCAGTCCTAGTTGATGGTATTATGACTTAAGAATCGATTTATGACGAGCGAGAGGGTGAACTTGAACCGCAACGACATGAAGATACACGAATGTGTGGTTTGTTATATATTCGAATGACGGACCCTCGGTTGTGGTGTGAAATGACCGGCGGCACTTTTTGAAGGGGAAGGAAAATAAGGTATTGACTAAACAACACGGAATCAGTGGGCATTATTATAGAAAAACAAATGATGGGTCTCTGATGGCGTGCGTGCGTAGCACCAGCTAGTTGCGGATGGTGAACGGATGCCTTCCAAAATGGCACTGTTTCGTCGCTGTCGTAGAGTTCAATGTCAATAACCTTCGCTCGTTGGGCTCATCTCTCGACCAGAGCAGAAACCAGTTTATTTTCTGCCCCGATAGAGGGGACGATTTGCATTTAAGACAGATATTGGGTATATTAACGTGCAGTAACTCACGTTATTTTCTAGGTTGATTATGCAGGCCTGAATCGATTTCAGTTTTCAGCCCCAGAACTAACCTATCTATGGTGTGATTTTACTCTTATTAAACACATTTTATTTCTAACGATGCTTTAGAATTAACATTCTCGAAACAAAGCCACTGATGTTTGTTTGTGTATGGGCATTAGAGTGGGTCAACCGACTCCCTCCGCTTATTCGATTTTTCAAGAAGTTTCAACTGTAGTCCCCATATGGAAATCCTAAGGAAATGCAACCCCAAACAGTAAAACAGGTATTCAAAAATACCCTAATGACCTATTTGCTATCAAATGTTGATCGGGACCAAATGTATGGGACAATTCCACAAAAATTACCGAACCACAATTTCCAAAATCAAAATTTTTATTTTTCATTCAACAAACCATAAACAGCACTCTTCAGTCTTCAACACTTCCTCCACGGCCTACTTCCCGCAATCAATGGTCCTAAGCCTTGGGCAGATGTGGTGCTTCCGGTTGGAATCCATTCTCGTCGGCAATGTAGTTCACGGTGTAAACCTGACCGTCGTCGGCGGTGAACGAATACGATCCTCGCACCACGATGGCCGCACTATCTTCTCCGAATGATCTGAGCTCGGCCTGTTCCTGCTGTTGAATGCCGTTGCTCGTCTCGACCTGGTAGTTGTATCCATCGATTCCTTTGTGGTCGTTATCAAAGCGCAAAATTTGAGCATCCTTATCCGGCACCGGTACGGCCACGGCCAAAGCGAAAATCGCGACGAATGCAAAAATTGCGGATTTCATTTTTCTACGCTGAACGTGAATCTTCTTCGTGCAGTTCGAGATTGCAGTTGTTATTCTAGTTGTAGACGCAAAACTGATTGTGCATTGCAAAGTGCAGTCGATATTTATACATGACTATACCCCCCCGATCGTTTTTGAGCACGCGTCATTCTTTCGGTCTGAGACAAGATTCAATAGTAGCTACGCGAAAAAAAATCAGACGACATTCTTCAGAGAGGTTGCATCTTCCTCGTGTATCCGGACGCGCTTCGAAGGCAGCCCATGATAATCGTTTATCTGATACACATTTATCGCTCCCCTCAATGTCAATGACAACCAATGCTGATCCGCGTGGAATCGAATAAGCGACTGGAAAAAAAACAAATAACCATAAAGTGAATGTCAAAAGAAAACCATCACTTCTTCGTTGAGGCGATTGCTAGAGGATTTTTGGCGATTCGACAAACTCACAATGATCAGATGGCAATGACAGACAGTTGAAATTATTCCGTAGTTTTTAGAACCATCGCGAGCAAATTTATCACCATTCTGGAGATGAGTTCTAAAATATATAGGTCAAAGGACATCCACCCAATTATACATTATTTTTAACAACATCGCCATGAATTTTAAGTTAAATAAATCTAAAGGAATTGTTGTTCCAAAACTGATGGACATTGGAAATTAAAATATTGGTAACTTGCTCATGAAAAGTCAACCTGATAGTTCATAGCTGGTCATCATCTTCCTCACTACTTTTTTGATTTGTACTCTAAAATATGTGCCAAATTGTAACGAATTCGGTTGCGATTTGGCTTTGCGAGGGAATGTTATTGATAGCATGTAAAAAAAACCCATGTTGTACATGCTTGAGATTAATTATATTACGTTAAGGGCCAAGCTTACCGATAAAAACGGGTTTGGAAAACTCAATTATGATTAAGGTCCTATTGTTTGGTTAAAAAATATCAAATTGGAGCCATACTTATGGAGATAAATCGATTTAAAGGTTCGGGAAACCCACCAGCCAACAAATAAAAGATTTTGAAATATTTTATACTGGGAAATCCGGATATAAAAATTTCGACCATCTGAACACCCCCCAAATCGCGATTAGAGCCATATTACCTTTGTTACTAGCGTAACATAGGTATTAGAATCGATTTTCACACGTCCTGCCGTCTGCTCCCGATAGCCATCCACACAAGCTATCTCACCTGTATAAAACATTCTCAATCGATAGAACTCGGCGCGATCTGGCTCGACAGTTTAATTACGACACCGTAGAATCAAATTGAATATGAAAAATCGACCCAGCAAGGTGAAATTTGCTGATGTCTGTATGTGCGTCTGTGGACGCGTTTCATCTAGGCAAGCTTTTTTCGAGATGGCTCATGCGATCAATATGGTTGATATCTCGTTCGATAGGCCCCATAGCGCCATTGATCGCTATTGAATTTTTTCTCGATCTGACTTCCGGTTTCGGAGATATGTAGGCCAGAATGATTTTAGTGAGCGATTTTTTAAAAATCAACGGTACACTTTATCAACATGATTTCTTTAACAGTAGAAAGACCTCATCCATATCTACTTGGGGAAAAAATTTCATACCGATCTGACTTCCGGTTCCGGAGATTTACAGGATAGAAAGATTTTAGTTAACGATTTTTTACAAATCAACGGTACATCCCATCAACGTGAAATTTGCAGCAATGGAAAGACCTCATCCATATCTACCTGCAGAAAAAATTTCATACCGATCTGACGTTTGGTGTTCGAGATTCCGCCTTATTACCTTTGTTACTAGCGTAACATAGGTATTAGAATCGATTTTCACACGTCCTGCCGTCTGCTCCCGATAGCCATCCACACAAGCTATCTCACCTGTATAAAACATTCTCAATCGATAGAACTCGGCGCGATCTGGCTCGACAGTTTAATTACGACACCGTAGAATCAAATTGAATATGAAAAATCGACCCAGCAAGGTGAAATTTGCTGATGTCTGTATGTGCGTCTGTGGACGCGTTTCATCTAGGCAAGCTTTTTTCGAGATGGCTCATGCGATCAATATGGTTGATATCTCGTTCGATAGGCCCCACAGCGCCATTGATCGCTATTGAATTTTTTCTCGATCTGACTTCCGGTTTCGGAGATATATAGGCCAGAATGATTTTAGTGAGCGATTTTTTAAAAATCAACGGTACACTTTATCAACATGATTTCTTTAACAGTAGAAAGACCTCATCCATATCTACTTGGGGAAAAAATTTCATACCGATCTGACTTCCGGTTCCGGAGATTTACAGGATAGAAAGATTTTAGTTAACGATTTTTTACAAATCAACGGTACATCCCATCAACGTGAAATTTGCAGCAATGGAAAGACCTCATCCATATCTACCTGCAGAAAAAATTTCATACCGATCTGACGTTTGGTGTTCGAGATTCCGCCTTATTACCTTTGTTACTAGCGTAACATAGGTATTAGAATCGATTTTCACACGTCCTGCCGTCTGCTCCCGATAGCCATCCACACAAGCTATCTCACCTGTATAAAACATTCTCAATCGATAGAACTCGGCGCGATCTGGCTCGACAGTTTAATTACGACACCGTAGAATCAAATTGAATATGAAAAATCGACCCAGCAAGGTGAAATTTGCTGATGTCTGTATGTGCGTCTGTGGACGCGTTTCATCTAGGCAAGCTTTTTTCGAGATGGCTCATGCGATCAATATGGTTGATATCTCGTTCGATAGGCCCCACAGCGCCATTGATCGCTATTGAATTTTTTCTCGATCTGACTTCCGGTTTCGGAGATATATAGGCCAGAATGATTTTAGTGAGCGATTTTTTAAAAATCAACGGTACACTTTATCAACATGATTTCTTTAACAGTAGAAAGACCTCATCCATATCTACTTGGGGAAAAAATTTCATACCGATCTGACTTCCGGTTCCGGAGATTTACAGGATAGAAAGATTTTAGTTAACGATTTTTTACAAATCAACGGTACATCCCATCAACGTGAAATTTGCAGCAATGGAAAGACCTCATCCATATCTACCTGCAGAAAAAATTTCATACCGATCTGACGTTTGGTGTTCGAGATTCCGCCTTATTACCTTTGTTACTAGCGTAACATAGGTATTAGAATCGATTTTCACACGTCCTGCCGTCTGCTCCCGATAGCCATCCACACAAGCTATCTCACCTGTATAAAACATTCTCAATCGATAGAACTCGGCGCGATCTGGCTCGACAGTTTAATTACGACACCGTAGAATCAAATTGAATATGAAAAATCGACCCAGCAAGGTGAAATTTGCTGATGTCTGTATGTGCGTCTGTGGACGCGTTTCATCTAGGCAAGCTTTTTTCGAGATGGCTCATGCGATCAATATGGTTGATATCTCGTTCGATAGGCCCCACAGCGCCATTGATCGCTATTGAATTTTTTCTCGATCTGACTTCCGGTTTCGGAGATATATAGGCCAGAATGATTTTAGTGAGCGATTTTTTAAAAATCAACGGTACACTTTATCAACATGATTTCTTTAACAGTAGAAAGACCTCATCCATATCTACTTGGGGAAAAAATTTCATACCGATCTGACTTCCGGTTCCGGAGATTTACAGGATAGAAAGATTTTAGTTAACGATTTTTTACAAATCAACGGTACATCCCATCAACGTGAAATTTGCAGCAATGGAAAGACCTCATCCATATCTACCTGCAGAAAAAATTTCATACCGATCTGACGTTTGGTGTTCGAGATTCCGCCTTATTACCTTTGTTACTAGCGTAACATAGGTATTAGAATCGATTTTCACACGTCCTGCCGTCTGCTCCCGATAGCCATCCACACAAGCTATCTCACCTGTATAAAACATTCTCAATCGATAGAACTCGGCGCGATCTGGCTCGACAGTTTAATTACGACACCGTAGAATCAAATTGAATATGAAAAATCGACCCAGCAAGGTGAAATTTGCTGATGTCTGTATGTGCGTCTGTGGACGCGTTTCATCTAGGCAAGCTTTTTTCGAGATGGCTCATGCGATCAATATGGTTGATATCTCGTTCGATAGGCCCCATAGCGCCATTGATCGCTATTGAATTTTTTCTCGATCTGACTTCCGGTTTCGGAGATATGTAGGCCAGAATGATTTTAGTGAGCGATTTTTTAAAAATCAACGGTACACTTTATCAACATGATTTCTTTAACAGTAGAAAGACCTCATCCATATCTACTTGGGGAAAAAATTTCATACCGATCTGACTTCCGGTTCCGGAGATTTACAGGATAGAAAGATTTTAGTTAACGATTTTTTACAAATCAACGGTACATCCCATCAACGTGAAATTTGCAGCAATGGAAAGACCTCATCCATATCTACCTGCAGAAAAAATTTCATACCGATCTGACGTTTGGTGTTCGAGATTCCGCCTTATTACCTTTGTTACTAGCGTAACATAGGTATTAGAATCGATTTTCACACGTCCTGCCGTCTGCTCCCGATAGCCATCCACACAAGCTATCTCACCTGTATAAAACATTCTCAATCGATAGAACTCGGCGCGATCTGGCTCGACAGTTTAATTACGACACCGTAGAATCAAATTGAATATGAAAAATCGACCCAGCAAGGTGAAATTTGCTGATGTCTGTATGTGCGTCTGTGGACGCGTTTCATCTAGGCAAGCTTTTTTCGAGATGGCTCATGCGATCAATATGGTTGATATCTCGTTCGATAGGCCCCATAGCGCCATTGATCGCTATTGAATTTTTTCTCGATCTGACTTCCGGTTTCGGAGATATGTAGGCCAGAATGATTTTAGTGAGCGATTTTTTAAAAATCAACGGTACACTTTATCAACATGATTTCTTTAACAGTAGAAAGACCTCATCCATATCTACTTGGGGAAAAAATTTCATACCGATCTGACTTCCGGTTCCGGAGATTTACAGGATAGAAAGATTTTAGTTAACGATTTTTTACAAATCAACGGTACATCCCATCAACGTGAAATTTGCAGCAATGGAAAGACCTCATCCATATCTACCTGCAGAAAAAATTTCATACCGATCTGACGTTTGGTGTTCGA